TCCTTGTCTGTCTGTCTCTCGCTGCCTGTCCTTGTCTGTCTGTCTCTCGCTGTCTGTCCTTGTCTCTCTGTCTCTCGCTGTCTGTCCTTGTCTGTCTGTCTCTCGCTGTCTGTCCTTGTCTGTCTGTCTCTCGCTGTCTGTCCTTGTCTGTCTGTCTCCCGCTGTCTTCCTTGTCTGTCTGTCCTTGTCTGTCGGTCTCTCGCTGTCTGTCCTTGTATGTCTGTCTCTCGCTGTCTGTCCTTGTCTGTCTGTCGCTCGCTGTCTGTCCTTGTCTGTCTGTTTCTCGCTGTCTGTCCTTGTCTGTCTGTCTCTCGCTGTCTGTCCTTGTCTGTCTGTCTCTCGCTGTCTATCCTTGTCTGTCTGTCTCTCGCTGTCTGTCCTTGTCTGTCTGTCTCTCGCTGTCTGTCCTTGTCTGTCTGTCTCTCGCTGTCTGTCCTTGTCTGTCTGTCTCTCGCTGTCTGTCCTTGTCTGTCTGTCTCTCGCTGTCTATCCTTGTCTGTCTGTCTCTCGCTGTCTGTCCTTGTCTGTCTGTCTCTCGCTGTCTGTCCTTGTCTGTCTGTCTCTCGCTGTCTGTCCTTGTCTGTCTGTCTCTCGCTGCCTGTCCTTGTCTGTCTGTCTCTCGCTGTCTGTCCTTGTATGTCTGTCTCTCGCTGTCTGTCCTTGTCTACTGTCTCTCACTGTCTGTCCTTGTCTGTCTGTCTCTCGCTGTCTGTCCTTGTCTACTGTCTCTCACTGTCTGTCCTTGTCTGTCTGTCTCTCACTGTCTGTCCTTGTCTGTCTGTGTCTCGCTGTCTGTCCTTGTCTGTCTGTCTCTCGTTGTCTGTCCTTGTCTGTCTCTCGCTGTCTGTCCTTGTCTGTCTGTCTGTCTGTCTGTCTGTCTCTCGCTGTCTGTCGTTGTCTACTGTCTCTCACTGTTTGTCCTTGTCTGTCTGTCTGTCTCTCGCTGTCTGTCCTTGTCTACTGTCTCTCACTGTCTGTCCTTGTCTGTCTGTGTCTCGCTGTCTGTCCTTGTCTGTCTGTCTCTCGCTGTCTGTCCTTGTCTGTCTCTCGCTGTCTGTCCTTGTTTGTCTGTCTCTCGCTGTCTGTCCTTTGTCTGTCTGTCCCTCGATGTCTGATCTTGTCTGTCTGTCTCTCGCTGTCTGTCCTTGTCTGTCTGTCTCTCTCGCTGCTGTCCTTGTCTGACTGTCTGTCTCTCACTGTCTGTCCTTGTCTGTCTGTCTGTCTCCCTGACTTCCCCTTTTTTTTCCATATTTGTCTTGTCTGTCTATCGCTATCTTCCTACTTCTGCTATTTTCTACATTTATCTTTCTCATCTACTATATTTCACTTTGATTCTCTCATTCTAAGTCTTAAAAAAAAACATGCACGCACATGCATGCATACATACACACGCTCTGTCTCCACCATCTATGCATCTTTCTCTCTGCCTCTTTCTTTCTTTCTAACTTAACATTCCCCCCCCCCCCCACTTCTCTCTCTCTCTCTTTCTCTCTTTCTATCTTTCTCTCACGCTCTCTTCTGCGTTTCTATGTCTGCCTCTATCTCCATCCTCTTTCTTTCTTTCTTTCTTTCTTTCTTTCTTTCTTTCTTTCTTTCTTTCTTTCTTTCTTTCTTTCTTTCTTTCTTTCTTTCTTTCTTTCTTTCTTTCTTTCTTTCTTTCTTTCTCTTTCTTTCTTTCTTTTCTTTCTTTCTTTCTTTTCTTTCTTTTTTCTTTCTTTCTTCTTTCTTTCTTTCTTTCTTTCTTTCTTTCTTTCTTTCTTTTCTTTTTCTTTCTTTCTTTCTTTCTTTCTTTCTTTCTTTCTTTCTTCTTTCTTTCTTCTTTCTTTCTTTCTTTCTTTCTTTCTTTCTTTCTTTCTTTCTTTCTTTCTTTCTTTCTTTCTTTCTTTCTTTCTTCTTCTTCTTTCTTTTCTTTCTTTCTTTCTTTCTTTCTTTCTTTCTTTTTTTTTTCTTTCTTTTTTTTTCTTTCTTTCTTTCTTTCTTTCTTTCTTTCTTTCTTTCTTTCTTTCTTTCTTTCTTTCTTTCTTTCTTTCTTTCTTTCTTTCTTTCTTTCTTTCTTTCTTTCTTTCTTTCTTTCTTTCTTTCTTTCTTTCTTTCTTTCTTTCTTTCCTTCTTTCTTTTTTTTCTTTCTTTCTTTATCTCCCAAACCGTGCCTATCCCTGCCTTATTCTCACACTCATCGTCTTGTAAATCTTTACTCTAAAAAGATAAATAAGTAATTTTTTTAACAACTTGTCCTTGGAGACAACAATTGCTGGCATGTTGACAATTGTAACAAAATTCGATATATTTTCTAAATGATAAAAATTCTGAAGTTGAGAATAAAACAATGAGATGATTATAATGACTGATGAAAACAACAAGCTGATTGAAATGACTCATGAAAACAAGGAGAAGACTAAAATAACTGATGAAAACAAAGAGATGTTTGATGCGATGTTTGACTGGTTAAGGCAAAAGTCGATAATAAAGAAAAAGAAAAAAATGCAAGATCTGGTATTTTGTTGTTGTCAAATTTGACTTGGAGAATCCGTATAGATAACTAATTCGCCCGACTGTTGGAAATAAATTTGTGATGGTCTAATTAAAGGAAGACGGTAACGCGACTCTCCCACACAAAAACAGAATTTACTGTCAACATCCGATGAAACACTGGCCCGGGATAAGGCGGCTCCATTAAACAGGGGTTGTTCTTCATAATCAGACAGTTGATGGATGCCAGTTAGCTGACATCTGTGACGTGTGACTGACAGACAGTCAATTAGAACTGCGGATTTCTGCCGGGAGAAGTCTGCCCCTGTCCCCGCCGGCTAGCAGACATCAGATTACTGACGATGTCAGTTTTTGCTGATAATGACAAAACGATGTGTTATTGTTTAGTATATTGAGGTTTTTTTTCTCCCTCTGTGTTAGTAATGACTGCCTGAGAGCTTTAGTGGTAAAGTAGCTAGCACGCTTGCCAACTGGTCCCGTGATCGTGTGTTCCCATCCAGTGGCGTAGGAACATTGATCCCACTGAGGCGCTTTGCAAAATGCATCACAGAGAATGAAATAGTAGCAGTAAAAAACCTTGACGTGAAATACTGACAGTAAAACACCCTGAAAGGAAATACTGACAGTAAAACGCCCTGACATGAAAATACTGGCAGTAAAACACCCTGACATGAAATACTGGCAGTAAAACACCCTGACATGAAATACTGGCAGTAAAACACCCTGACATGAAATACTGGCAGTAAAACCCCCTGACGTGAAATAGTGGCAGTAAAACACCCTGACATGAAATACTGGCAGTAAAACACCCTGACGTGAAATACCGACAATAAAACACCCTGACGTGAAATACTGACAGTAAAACACCCTGACGTAAAATACTGACAGTAAAACACCCTGACATGAAATACTGACATTAAAACACCTTGACATGAAATGCTGGCAGCAAAACACCCTGACATGAAATACGGGCAGTAAAACACCTTGACGTGAAATACTGACATTAAAACACCTTGACATGAAATACTGGCAGCAAAACACCCTGACATGAAATACGGGCAGTAAAACATCCTGACGTAAAATACTGACAGTAAAACACCCTGACATGAAATATTGGCAGTAAATCACCCTGACATGAAATACTGACAGTAAAACACCCTGACGTGAAATACGGACAGTAAAACACCCTGACATGAAGTACTGACAGTAAAACATCCTTACATAAAATATTTTCAGTAAAACACCCTGACGTGAAATACTCGAAGTAAAACACCCTGACATGAAATAGTGGCAGTAAAACACCCTGCCATGAAATACTGGCAGTAAAACACCCTGACATGAAATACTGGCAGTAAAAGACCCTGACATGAAATACTGACAGTAAAACACTATGACATGAAATGCTGACAGTAAAACACCCTGCCATAAAATACTGACAGCTAAATACATGATGGCACGCAACGTGGTGTCGGGACTGTCACCTTGATTTCTTTTGCATGATAATAATAATTCCATTATTGCTGATGCAATTTTCTTCCCTGATTATCTGCCCCTGGCCAATTTCTGTTCGCATTTGTCTGTTGTCTGTCTAAGTCGGGCATTGTCTGGCTCTAATGATGCCATCAACACAATCTAGTGCCATTTAAATTAATATTTCTCTTCCTACCGCTACCCGTCCTCTCCTTATTTGACGCTAATCTCATGTTGCCTTTACTTTTAGCCATGATAATTGAAGAGCTTTTTGTTTTCTTGATGTCTGATAGAATTAGTTTGTGTTGTATGTCTGTTTGCGTGTATTTGAGTGTGCAAAAGAGCGTGTGTGTGATTGTATGTGTGTGTGCGCCCGCGCGTGTATGAAGAATCCAGCGAAGAGCGTCAACAGCCTACTTTAGTCTCGTTTCAATAATATATAATTACTTTCATTGGAGGTTGGGGAAACCGTGTTGTCCATGTCTCCTATAACCATGTTGTCCATGTCTCCTATAACCATCTTGTCCATGTCTCCTTTAACCATCTTGTCCATGTCTCCTATAACCGTGTTGTCCATGTCTCCTTTAACCATGTTGTCCATGTCTCCTATAACCATGTTGTCCATGTCTCCTGTAACCATGTTGTCCATGTCTCCTATAACCATGTTGTCCATGTCTCCTATAACCATGTTGTCCATGTCTCCTATAACCATGTTGTCCATGTCTCCTATAACCATGTTGTCCATGTCTCCTTTAACCATCTTGTCCATGTCTCCTATAACCATGTTGTCCATGTCTCCTATAACCATGTTGTCCATGTCTCCTATAACCATGTTGTCCATGTCTCCTATAACCATGTTGTCCATGTCTCCTATAACCATGTTGTCCATGTCTCCTATAACCATGTTGTCCATGTCTCCTATAACCATGTTGTCCATGTCTCCTATAACCATGTTGTCCATGTCTCCTATAACCATCTTGTCCATGTCTCCTATAACCATGTTGTCCATGTCTCCTATAACCATCTTGTCCATGTCTCCTTTAACCATCTTGTCCATGTCTCCTATAACCATGTTGTCCATGTCTCCTATAACCATCTTGTCCATGTCTCCTATAACCATGTTGTCCATGTCTCCTATAACCATGTTGTCCATGTCTCCTATAACCCATGTTGTCCATGTCTCCTATAACCATGTTGTCCATGTCTCCTATAACCATGTTGTCCATGTCTCCTATAACCATGTTGTCCATGTCTCCTATAACCATGTTGTCCATGTCTCCTATAACCATGTTGTCCATGTCTCCTATAACCATGTTGTCCATGTCTCCTATAACCATGTTGTCCATGTCTCCTATAACCATCTTGTCCATGTCTCCTATAACCATGTTGTCCATGTCTCCTATAACCATCTTGTCCATGTCTCCTTTAACCATCTTGTCCATGTCTCCTATAACCATGTTGTCCATGTCTCCTATAACCATGTTGTCCATGTCTCCTATAACCATGTTGTCCATGTCTCCTATAACCATGTTGTCCATGTCTCCTATAACCATGTTGTCCATGTCTCCTATAACCATGTTGTCCATGTCTCCTATAACCATGTTGTCCATGTCTCCTATAACCATCTTGTCCATGTCTCCTATAACCATGTTGTCCATGTCTCCTATAACCATGTTGTCCATGTCTCCTATAACCATGTTGTCCATGTTGTCCATGTTGTCCATGTCAATAACCATGTTGTCCATGTCCGTCCTATAACCATGTTGTCCATGTCTCCTATAACCATGTTGTCCATGTCTCCTATAACCATGTTGTCCATGTCTCCTATAACCATGTTGTCCATGTCTCCTATAACCATGTTGTCCATAACCATGTTGTCTGTCTCTATAACCATAACCATGTTGTCCATGTCTCCTATAACCATGTGTTGTCCATGTCTCCTATAACCATGTTGTCCATGTCTCCTATAACCATGTAACCATGTTGTCCATGTCTCTATAACCATGTTTGTCCATGTCTCCTATAACCATGTTGTCCATGTCTCCTATAACCATGTTGTCCATGTCTCCTATAACCATGTTGTCCATGTCTCCTATAACCATGTTGTCCATGTCTCCTATAACCATGTTGTCCATGTCTCCTATAACCATGTTGTCCATGTCTCCTATAACCATGTTGTCCAAGTGCGGACATGGACAAGCGACCGGGACTTTCCACTAGCGCCCACAGCCGGAAATTACGGACAGGCAACTCTAGCGTCTTCTGTTTCAGGGTTCTTCAATCCTTGGTTCACGGGGGTTAAAGATATTAAAGAACATCGGTCGTTTTTGGTCTGACCCATCCCTCTTTCCCTTTAACATTCCCGTTGAGAATTTATACTCTAGTTTTACGTTCCTTCGTGTGACGTGCTCACAGAAAGCAAATTGTATCTTTTAATGCGGATAATCCTTTCATTGTGGAAGTCAGTTTCCTTCGACAGGTGATCGTTACGTGTTTGTGCCAGGTGTTTGTTCTCATCATCACTCTCCACAGCCACATCACTACAGCTTCCACGTAGTTTCTCACAATTCTATAGACTCCCACCATACACGTTCTTATGCTAGAGGATCACTGCAGCTTCCACGTAGTTTCTCACAATTCTATAGACTCCCACCATACACGTTCTCATGCTAGTGGATCACTGCAGCTTCCACGTAGTTTCTCACAATTCTATAGACTCCCACCATACACGTTCTCATGCTCGTGGATCACTCACTGCACACCAATTCACTAGGTTACCACTACGACTACCTGCAGCTTTTAATTCTGCCAGAGGTTGGGGCTACCGCCTACGACTTTTGCGGCTATGGGATTTGCCCAAGAATAACTTACGTCATAGACATGCGCAGAGAGGATCGAGTAAACTCTCTTTCCTGTAATATATCTTGTAGTTCTTCTAATCCTGGTACTTATCTCGGTGACGCCGCTGATTGATGGGCTCAAACGAGAGAGGGAGAGGGAGAGCGAGGGAGAGAGAGAGAGAGTCAGTCTCTTAGTTAATTTGTTCAAATGTCACTTGTCAACAAATAATTGACAGCTGTGAAGACTAAACAAATCTGAACATTGTCTTAAAACGTTCATTCCCTGGCAGACGCAATCTGATGAACACCGTTGGCGGCAAGATGTTGCCGGGAAATGACTTTGGCAGCTCGTGGCTGTAATTACCTGGCCGGGCGGTGGCAGACTGACACACTTCCTCCACAGCATGGCGACCGGCAGGTGAAGACATGACGACAACTAATAAGTGAGCCTTCTAGAGTAAACATATCTATTAGGTTCCATGTGGGATCGTGGAGATACACGGGCAGATAAATATAAGCTATAGCTGGCAGAATGGCTTATCCGGACAGACAAGTAGTTAGACATGCATACAGCATAGACACGCACTGTGCGTGCAAACACGCACACATACCGGGCAGAGAAAAAGAGATACGTAGACACATACAGACGGGGTAGACAAACAAATAACACGCCCACATACATACTGTGTAGAACACACACACACTATATAAAAGTAATTCCTTACGTCCTTTTCAGGACGTAATTTTTTGTTATTTGAAGCCCCACTCTGGCTTTTGCCAGGGGCCGCAATATAGGCAGGCCATAAAAATGGCCAAATGTCTGAACGCGGTTTCTGGGACCTCTCCACGGGTGATCCTCATCCACATGGTGGCACGTTGTGTCATCGGGTGTTTATCGCTTGTGTGATGTCCTAGTGGGGTAGAAAGTCACTCACTCACTCACTCACACACACACACAGACAGACTGAGACACATGGACACATAAATAGCTCAAAGCCTAAAAGATTCACATTCACACAAGCAGAGTTCTCTAGACTTCAGCAGAGTTCTCTAGACTTCAGCAGAGTTCTGTAGACTTCAGCAGAGTTCTCTAGACTTCAGCAGAGTTCTCTAGACTTCAGCAGAGTTCTCTAGAGTTCAGCACAGTTCTGTAGACTTCAGCAGAGTTCTCTAGACTTCAGCAGAGTTCTCTAGACTTCAGCACAGTTCTCTAGACTTCAGCAGAGTTCTCTAGACTTCAGCAGAGTTCTCTAGACTTCAGCAGAGTTCTCTAGACTTCAGCAGAGTTCTCTAGACTTCAGCAGAGTTCTCTAGACTTCAGCATAGTTCTCTAGACTTCAGCAGAGTTCTCTAGACTTCAGCAGAGTTCTCTAGACTTCAGCAGAGTTCTCTAGACTTCAGCAGAGTTCTCTAGACTTCAGCAGAGTTCTCTAGACTTCAGCAGAGTTCTCTAGACTTCAGCAGAGTTCTCTAGAGTTCAGCACAGTTCTCTAGACTTCAGCACAGTTCTCTAGACTTCAGCACAGTTCTCTAGAGTTCAGCAGAGTTCTCTAGACTTCAGCAGAGTTCTCTAGACTTCAGCAGAGTTCTCTAGACTTCAGCAGAGTTCTCTAGACTTCAGCAGAGTTCTCTAGACTTCAGCAGAGTTCTCTAGAGTTCAGCACAGTTCTCTAGACTTCAGCACAGTTCTCTAGAGTTCAGCAGAGTTCTCTAGAGTTCAGCAGAGTTCTCTAGACTTCAGCAGAGTTCTCTAGACTTCAGCACAGTTCTCTAGACTTCAGCAGAGTTCTCTAGAGTTCAGCAGAGTTCTCTAGACTTCAGCAGAGTTCTCTAGACTTCAGCAGAGTTCTCTAGAGTTCAGCACAGTTCTCTAGACTTCAGCACAGTTCTCTAGAGTTCAGCAGAGTTCTCTAGAGTTCAGCAGAGTTCTCTAGACTTCAGCAGAGTTCTCTAGACTTCAGCACAGTTCTCTAGACTTCAGCAGAGTTCTCTAGAGTTCAGCAGAGTTCTCTAGACTTCAGCAGAGTTCTCTAGACTTCAATAGTTCAAGTTCATTTTGAGGATGATTCAATAGTCAGCCACTGTACCACAATTGTTTACAAGACAGAATAATTCCCAGTCGGCCACTGTACCACAATTGTTTACAAGACAGAATAATTCCCAGTCGGCCACTGTACCACAATCGTTTACAAGACAGAATAATTCCCAGTCGGCCACTGTACCACAGGTTGGTACAAGATATAATAATCCCCAGTCGGTCACTGTACCACAGGTTGGTACAACAAAATAGAATAATCCCCAGTCGGTAACTGTACCACCGGTTGGTACAACAAGATAGAATAATCCCCAGTCGGTCACTGTACCACAGGTTGGTACAACAAGACAGAATAATCCCCAGTCGGTCACTGTACCACAGGTTGGTACAACAAGATAGAATAATCCCCAGTCGGTCACTGTACCACAGGTTGGTACAACAAGATAGAATAATCCCCAGTCGGTCACTGTACCACAGGTTGGTACAACAAGATAAAATAATACCCAGTCTGTCACTGTACCACAGGTTGGTACAACAAGATAGAATAATCCCCAGTCGGTCACTGTACCACAGGTTGGTACAACAAGATAGAATAATCCCCAGTCGGTCACTGTACCACAGGTTGGTACAACAAGATAGAATAATCCCCAGTCGGTCACTGTACCACAGGTTTGTACAGCAAGACAGAATAATCCCCGGTCAGCAATTTATCACAGTTGGACGCAGCAAGACAGAATAATTACTGATTAGCCATTGTACCACACAGACAGACATACAACCACACAAACAGACATGTAATCACACAAACAAACATACAACCACACAAACAGGCATATACCCACACAAACATCCATATACCCACACAGACATATCACACACACAGACATAAAATCACACACACAGACATATAATCATACACGCAGACATATCAACACTCAAACAGACATATAATCACAGACATATAATCACACAAACAGGCATAAAATCAAACAGACATATAATCACACTCACAAACATATAATCATACACACAGACATATAATCACACACAGAGACATATAATCACACACACAGACATATAATCACACACACAGACATATAATCACACACACAGACATATAATCATACACGCAGACATATAACCACTCAAACAGACATATAACCATACAAACAGGCATACAACCACACAGACAGACATGTAGTCACAGAAACAGACATATAATCACACATACACACACACACACACATAATCACACACAGACATATAATCACACACATAGACATAAAATCACACAGACAGAAATATAATCACACACACAGACATATAATCACACACACACACACACACACACATAAGCACACACACATATAATCACACACATATAATCCCAAACATAGAATTTAATCACACACGTACACATAAAATCACACACACAGAAATATAATCACACACACAAACATATAATCACACAACAGACATAAAATCACACACAGACATATAATCACACAAACACTTATATTCACACACACAGACATATAATCACACACACAGACATAAAGTCACACACACAGACATATAATTACACACAAGGACATATAATCACACACACAGAGACATATAATCACACTCATATAATATAATCATACACATATACATATAATCACACACACAGACATATAATCCCACAAACACACACATATAATCACAGACATATAATCACACACAGACATATAATCACACACATATATGTAACCACACACACAGACATATAATCACAAACACACACATATAACCACACAAACAGACATATAATCACAGACATATAATCACACACACAGACATAATTACATACACACACAGACATATAACC